CACCAGCTCAAGGTTGACTCAACCTTCCATCCTTCCGAGGTGGGTGAAATGAGGACCCAGACTGTGGGGGCGATATGCTGACAAACTGCTTACAGAGCTGAAAGCCCTATGAAGCAGTATATAAGTCTAACTGCTATTGCTAATATGGTCAAAACTGATAGGAGCTTCTTACCATATTTCTGAAAGAACAGTCACTTCGATGATTTTTATTTTATTTTCTTTCTTGCTTCCAAATACTGCCTCCCTCCCAGCCCTTTACAGAGCTAAGCCTTGCAGGAAGAAAGATTACATCCAAATCTCAGCATTCTGGAGATAAAATATTTCATTCTACTTGGAAACTTTCTGCTTTCCCCCCACCCCCCACAATGCAGTGATTTAGCAATTCTGGGTATAGCTTGTAGTTTTCTGGAATAAATCTTCTAGAAGACAAAGTGATTTGTGATGTTCCAAGAGTGACCATTCATGCCATGAAAAAGAATATTCCAGAAATATTGTACCTTATAATTCTAACCCTAGATATGTTGCATTTTGCACATCCATATTTCATCTAGCACTACAATACATAATCTTCTTCAAAACTAAATTTGTTATTCAAACATTCTGTAGGCAGCTGAAAGATAAAATGTTTTGCACTACCTGATTTTCCCCTTCTGGTGTATTTTGTCCTTCCTTGCCTTCCACCTCTACAAGCAAATAAAGAGGTTTGGATTCCTTTGCTTCATTAAGGAAGCCTCCCGTGTCCACCTTCCTTTTGATAGTAGAATTCCAATGGTTTTTCACAGCATTATCAGTCCTTTAAGCATAGATGATAAATACGTGCAGAATTAGCCAGGAGAAGCAGCAGCAAGCAAGCTCTGCTATTCTGAAAGATGGCTGCTTCAACAGCCTTTAAACATACCTTCCAGGAAGCAGCTTGGCAATCTCAGCCCACCGGTTTCCAAGTATCTTGTGGGCGTCACATATTATGCGGTCCTCCTCTTCCGTCCAGGATGATTTCTTGACTTCAGGGTTCAGGTGGTTGTGCCAACGTTCCCGGCATTGCTTTCCTAGCCGGCCTTTCAAATGCTTCGCTATGAGCGTCCATTGCTTTGTGCCATATTTTTTCACCAATTCAATGACCTCATCACAAAAATAAAATGGTCACATTTAGTTTTGTTTACTGGATGCACTTTTGACATTCAGCCATTATACAAGAATCTACGGTTTGTAGAAAGATGCAGTTAAGCGTATTGATCTGAAACCAGAAATATTTCTATTGGGCATAATACCGGAGGGTTATGACAAAGGGACCACGTATCTAGTTTTGCATGTACTGACAGCAGCAATGATAGTATTTGGAAACTATTGGAAAAATCAGAATACCCCATCAGAGGAGGAGATAATTCGGAAAATTTAAGGTTGTGCCGAAATGGACAGATTAAAAATAAAAGATAAAGAGGACACAGAATATTACTTGATATAGAATAGATCTTATGAATGGTTGGAGACAAGAGGTAGAAATTAGATGAAGAAAGATCACTGCTATGTATGAATTAAATACAACAATGATTTATAATTATAAATACGCCAATATAATCAACAGAAGTATAAAAAAGCCAATATAAAGATAAATTTAGCTAAAACTATTCTGTCATATTATTACTATTGTTACCAGTATATGTATAAAAATAAATATATACTGGAGAACCAGTTCGGGGGCGTGGCAGGCCTGGGTCGCTCCGGTTTCAGGTTCAGCTGAACCAGTAGGAACCTACCCTGGTGCGTGTGTGTGTGTGTGTGTGAATTCTTTACCTTGCTTCTGTAAATGATATACCTTGACAATGCAGTGTATTCAAAATATTTATGAATAAAAAAAATAAAAGAGAGGCAGTTAAGCAGGTCCATGCATTTCTGATCCACTTTGGGCTAAAGACACTCATTTTTGTTTTTAGGCTCTCTTTAGAACTGGGGAAACCACCCCAACTTGAGGATAAGGGTTTAATATCTTGAAGGGGCAAAATCAGCATTTCAAGGCATAACACTTTCTCAAAAAACAAAAACAAATTGCCCAACATTGGGGATATGGAGGCTACAGGAGGAGTATTAGACAGCCCAGATAGTTCAAAATGCAATAAATGTTTGGATTCTCTATTATACTACAAGATTTTATATTGTGTGAAGGGGGCAGAATATTTGAATTATATCTCTTATCTTCCAACCAGAAGTTGCACTCAGGCTGACATCCGTCACACTTGTAGATATAAACCCAGGTTTCCTGCCAATGTTCTGGCTGGAAATTCTGCAAGGGCACTAGGTTGTGAAAGGCTTGCTTGCGAATTATGCCCAGCAATTCCTCCACTTCTTATATTAGGCAACCTGGGTGCAACCTGGAGTTCCTTATCACACAGAAGACAGTTTCAGTTCCTCCGCTCCAAAAGTAACTACTGAACAATGAATTACCTTCTGATCTTCTTGTTTAGTCCAGGGCCCTTTCACAAGAACAGGGTTTAGCACTCTTAGCCAGCGATACTGACATTGCTGTTCAGTGCGGTTCTATGAGAAAATTTAAATAGGTTTATGTTAAGTGAAACATTAGTGGGACAGAAATAAAAATCGAAAGCAAGAGAGACATGCATTAGCACTTTAACCAGCAGCCAAATTTCTGCAAATTTGGTTTTCAATTGTTTCTGCAGATAGGGAAAACAACAACAAGAAAGCCTATTTAACTGAAAAATTCCACTTACAGGAAAATGGCCTGCTAGGAATTTCCAGTCATGTCCAAACTGCGTCACCAGAGAATTCAGCAGCTCATCCTAAAAAGAGCAAGATTGTCAGTATATGTCAAAACCTAACACAAAATAAGGAACAGAATCTTGAATTCTTATGTGATTTGACAACACTGAACAACTATCCATAGGTAGGTTACACTGCTATCACCAAGTATACAATGCAGCAGGAATAGCACATAGGATCTGATAGAAACAAATGCTTTGTCCAAATGGCCAACTCTGATGTATGGAGAAATATAAAACCTCAATTGCCCCCTTCAAGAACTTTCAAGATCCCCGGACTTGATTGTAGATTATACAATAAAATATTACCTTACAGAAATTCTAAACACACAATGCGTGGATTTTATAACAGGAAGCAAAAAGAACCGGATAGGTGTATATAATTTATCAGAAACGAAATTTTGCCCTGGATTTTGCTTCATAGGACAATATCCAAATGAACATTACAAACAGAAGCATCAGAAGCAAATACAGAGCTCTGGTAAATATTTACTATCCAAAGAGCTGACTCATAAATGCATCTTTGGTATTACTGATAGTCTTTGATTTACAACCAAAATTGGGAATTGATTTTCTGTTGCTAAGCAAGGCGCTTGTTAAGTGAGTCATGCCAAATTTTATGACTTTTGCCAAAGTTGTTTAGAGAATCACTGTAGTTATTAAGTAAAGCATATGATTGTTAAGTGAATCTGGCTTCTCCAACTGAATTTGTCTGAAGTCAGCTGACTAAGTCACAAATGGTGATCACATGATCCTGGGACACAGCAACCACTGAAAATACATACCAGTTGCCAAGTGCCTGAATTTTGATCATGTGACCCTGGCGATGCTACAACAGTTTTAAGCATGAGGATCAGTTTATATGTCACATTTTCCAGTGCCATTGTAACTTTTGATGGATGCTTAATAAATAGTTGTAAATTGAGGACTATCTGCTTTTTTCACTTACAATTTGGTCAATAACAAGACCTGTCTGTGTTCCAACTATTTACTGATTTGTAAGAATGTTAAGCGTGTTTTCCTTTTAATAATTCAAAAGCAGGCTAGTCCTGTTTATTTACTAGCTTTGTATCCAAACATGTCAGTGGATCTTTTCTTATGCATTTACCTCATTCAGAGTCTCACACCTGCTTGGCCCAAGGCCAATCTCCCCAATTTTTCTCTATGAATAATACAATACATACTTCTTCACGAGACCACTTGACTTTACATCTGTTATCCCGTCGGTCTATCACATCTGAATCCTGGTAAAGCAGTTCTTCCTGCTCTTCACTATTATAATATATTAAAAGAGAGAGATATGTTATATTTAAGCATTCACTTACAAATACTAATTCATTTCTATCTAGTTTAGCAGAATAAAACACTTCAGCAAAACCTTCACCTGCAAACACTCAGTTCTTCAAATCACTTTACACACACACTGGTATCCCTATACACTGGACTAATCCATCCATTGCTCTGGAAGCCAAAGGGAAAAAATTACATATACATTCTATAGCCATACTGACATTTCAAAATGTCTTCACAATGAAGCCTTAGAAACACTGATCTCATCTCATTTGTAAATCTGTCAGTTGTCCTCATGCTTGGAATTTTCTCTTTGGAAATCCGCCAAAGCCCACGCCTGAACAGCTTCCGGCTTCCTATATTCTAACTTGCTCTTCGTAACCAGAAAGAAGATAGTATTATTGATCTAGAACAGGGGTAGTCGGTTCCACCACAAATCCGCGAAGCCCTTATCCGCGGAGACATAAGCGCGAAGACTAATTCACGCCGTTCTAAGCGCTAAGAAAAAACGCGACCCTACCTCAATGACATAATCGCGGAGGGCAAATTCGCGCATTCCCAAGCACTCAGTACGCTAAACCTAACCCTAACCCTAACGCTAAACCTAACCCTAACCCTAAAACAAACCCCTAAACCTAATCCTAACCCTTACCTTAATTGAAGTCGGCTTCATGGCGCGGCGCCGTTTTAAAGTGCCCTTCTGTTGCCGCGCTGTTGTCGCGGCGGTGATGACACGCGGTGATGACGTCGCAGCTTTAGCGCCACGATTTTATCACTGCGATTTTGACGAGCGCGGTTTTGTCGTGCCACGGGGTAGTCAACCTTTCTATACCTACCGCCCACTGGTTCCACAGTAACGATGATTTATAAAGTAGGGAAGTAACTTTACTTTATAAAATTTATAAAGCAGTGTTACAGCAAACCCCTACTGCCCACCATGAAAGCTGGAACGCCCACTAGTGGGTGGTAGGGACCAGGTTGACTATCACTGATCTAGAACTTCCCTAGAATCCTTGCAACATTCTGGGAAATAAGGCCAGCAAGTCAAATTCATTCTTCTCATGAGATCAGTAGCTAAGATATTTGTTTAATCTGAGATCTTAAAACAGAGCCCTTCACATTAGAGTCTAATGTGCTATAAATCCATACCAAGCATTTAACTCCTTGGGATTTAAAAAAAACTTGACTCCATCATTACAGTACCGTACATTACAAGCGGAGATCCCACTATCATGGTTTCAACTGCTCCCCCCTCCCATTTCATCTAAATCCTAAAACTATGAACTTGAATCTAGCTACCCAGGGTAGCCTTATTAAGGTCATCCCAAAGGTGCTTTTTCAAGAAGTAACTGGACTTTCTGCTTTTTCTTTGAAGGTGTTTCGCTTCTTATCTAAGAACTTCTTGTATAAGCTTCTGTAGAGCTGAAGAAGCCCCTTGGGTGAGAAGCCAAAGGTCTTCAAAAAACAAACCAGAAAGTCCAGTTGCTTCTTGAAAAGGCACCTTTGGGGACAACCATGACCTGGATGACTGAGAATCTCCGTAGACACTTATGAAGGTCATGAGCTAAAGCCACGTTTTTTCAATCAGGAGTCACTCCTTTGGGGATGGGAGGAGAAGGAACCAAGGTTGGAGAGAACTTCCCTTCTCAACCCGGAGCAATGTGTCCTAGACAAAAAGGGCCCAACCTATTTTCCTCTCCTTCCCCCCCCCCCACTCCCCCAGCCGCAGCCTGGAGGGAAAAAAGGGTTCCTTTTGCCGCCCAGGCGAGCCATTTTAAGGTCTCCATTTCAGATAACCAGCAGCGTCCCCCGTCCTCTTCCTCTTCTTCCACCCCAGCAAGATTGGCAATCTATGGGCACCTCTGCCACGTTTGCTCCATAGGTTCATTCGCTTTATGAAGCCCACCGCCGGGGGGGAAGAAGCGGCGGGATAAATGGACGAAAGCAAGCGCTTTCGGGTTGGGGAGAGGAGAGAAGGTGGGAATTGGCTCCAGAAAAGGCGGGAGGGGAGAAGCAACACCCCCCACCCCCGGTCTCTCTCTGCGCAGCCCTCCTAAAATGCACGGCTTCCCGCAACTCACCCGCGAGCCCGACGAGACATTCTGCCTTTTGCAGGAAAATCATAAACCCAGCCAGAAGTTTTCCAATGACTTGCTTTAGGGAAATGAGCTACCGAAAAGGACCCGACGGAGATGTCGCTGCCGCCGCCAGGGCAGCTGCGCAAAAAAATGCCGCTTAAACCTTCCCAAAGCACTCCGGCGCAACTGCAAGCGCGCTCGCCGCCTCCCGCCCGGGAACCCGAAAGCGGACTTTTTCTATCTCGCGCCAACCCCGCCGCAACCAGCCACCTTTTTCCGGCGTGATGACGCTCCGGATGACGCGGCCGCAGATCCTTGTTAATAGGAAGGGCGGGTTGGTGGGGCTGGGAGAAAGTGGCGCGCGCGGGCAAGTTGGAGTTTTGTGTTTTCCTTTATAAGAAAGAACGAAAACCAAAACGTCCTTGCAGTGCTCGACAATAAAAAATAAAATAAAAATTACGGCCTCTGGTAGCCAAGGCAGAGTCAGCCACGCATCCCTGTAAAGTTGATAGCTTCAGGCGGCTAAAATGGATCTTTTTAGTACGGAGCATTCTATCAAAAACCAGAGCGGGCGTGTTGATTCTAAAGAACAAATAAAGAGCCAGGAATTCACATCAAGCCAATATATATAGATCACCTGAGTGTAAGGTAACTATTTCGAATATGCCAGGGCGTTGCATCAAGCAAGGTTCATAAAAGGGTATTTAAGGTACACAATGGCTAGTCTTCCCGAAAGAAGTATGTAGTGCTTATTTAATACTATTAATGATACTACAATATAACAATGTCTTAAGCCATAAAGATTTCGGAAGGCTACCAACTGCTGCTGCCATGGATCGTGTGTGTGGGTGTGTGGGTGTGTGGGTGTGGGTGTGGGGTGGATTGATGGGGGTGTAGTTTCACATCTAAAATGGATCTAGTTGGATAAAGACTTCCGCTTATATATTTTTCTGTATCTGAAAAATGGTGGGTTCATGCAAGCAATAACTAACATGGCATATTTTGCAAACACTGGCTATGCTAAGCCAAAACCCAAAATTACATATTAATTTAATGAGTAGTGTGAAAGCAGGAACAGGCTTCACAGACACCTGACAAGAAATTGACATTCCATTGAGGGAAGTTAGCACCCACTCCTCTACTAGAAAAATGAAATATCCTAGGAAATATTAAAAAGGCAGAATATTATATTAACCTGGATGAGAAATGGAGAAATATGTTTTTAGGCAGGAAACAGACTCACTCTTAATAGCCCCTCCACCTTTGTCAATGGGCCATTAAGGCCTGAGCCAGTCTATTCTACATAACAAAGATCAGAGCCATTTCATTGCCTTTCATTGCACCACCCACCACGTTTCAACCAAACTTAGCACACAAACAACCTACAAAGCTAGCTATGATCTCTGACAGCAACCAATCAGGATACTCTTCCTGTGCCCCAGGAAGTTCAAAATCCGGAGAGGGCATAAAACCCAGGGACTCAGCATCTCTTCCCTTTTCACCCAGGGGCTTCAAGGCATGTGATCCTGTCCACCATTAAACCATCTTGCCAAACAGCTTCCATGTTTCCAGTGTCTTTTTCCCCACTTGGAACTGAACCCAGATGGACATTTCTTCCAACACCCACATTCCAAATAGCAACATTTATAGCAATAGCAGTAGACTTATATACCGCTTCATAGGCCTTTCAGGCCTCTCTAAGCGGTTTACAGAGAGTCAGCATATTGCCCCCAACAATCTGGGTCCTCATTTTACCCACCTTGGAAGGATGGAAGGCTGAGTCAACCCTGAGCCGGTGAGATTTGAACCGCTGACCTGCTGATCTAGCAGTAGCCTGCAGTGCTGCATTTAACCACTGCGCCACCTTGGCTCTTATGTCATTTGAGTAAATAATTTATATCATTTACATGATGGCATCTTATCCATGTAGTGTCACTAGTTGTTTCCCTGCAGATCATGCTAATGGTAGCTCAGAAAGCACCACGGACTCCAGAGTTTGAAGCATAAGATCCATACAAGAGATAATATAGAAATGGGCTTGCTGTTTCAAGATACATTTTTTAAGGATTGTCTGGTATACTTTCAACCTTGCAGCTGAAACAGGAAATGCAAACTGTAAATCTATTCAGATTCATTTTGGTTTTGCAAGGCTGATTTTCTTTTGTTGTTAGAAATTAAACCTCTGCAGTTCTTTAATCCACTAGGGAAAAAATACTTGTTTCTTTTGCCTTTTATCCCCATTTTGATGACCATAATTGACTTCCACAAGCAATTAAAGGAATACAGAAACCCCATTCATGATGAAAAACTGGCAGTAACAGTTTTATACCTTATGGAACAAAACAGGTTAAAAATGGCCCCAAAACTATTTATTATTATAAAACACATTTAACATGGAAGCGTGGAAAATTCTTCACATAGGGAACACAAGTCAAATTCACAGATAGATGATGGAGGATCCCTGACTTGACAATAGTATTTGTAAGAGGATCTGCTAGGTTTTCTATAGGATATCATTCAAAAGGCTCAATTCTTTTCTATTATCACAGAGTGCAGGACATGGAATGCTGCTGTTAAATGAGAAGCTAGATTTCACCTGAATATTAAGAAACATGTCTACACAACAAGAATAATTTGACAGAAGAACCAATATCTCAAAAACATAGTGAACTTCCTAACTCATGGTGTTTTTAAGCAGAGAAGAGAGGTACATGCTTTAATTTGGCTTCCTGCACAGATCAGATGATTGGATTTAATACTTAAATTATCTCTTCCACAAATTAAATCAATTCAGAAAGTTAAAATTAAACTCATGTGGGTGCTTAGCTGAGGAAGGATTTTTTTTATTAAAGAAATATGGCATATTTGCTCTTTTATTTGTACACTTGGATTGCATGCTTCTGCATTAAAATCAGTATCAAAACTCCTATGTTCAGCCAAAGATGTACATCATTTGTAAATGATTGAGCTCCTGTGAGAAATCTGTTGGCTACAGACAATGCTACTTTAGAGGTTTCAGATAACAGAGCTGTGTCCCCACATTGATAGTCAATCTAGCCAGAGGGTGGAAGGGGGATGCTTGACATGGAAATGAGCCACAGCAGTTCCTCAATAGCTGATAAGACATTGTAACAGTTTTTAAAGCCTGAAAAGGCTATGGCTATACTGACCTTGATTGAATTTGCATTGTATTCTATGTAATGCATCATTCAGCATCTCATATCTTCCTCATTTGGCACAAGCATATAAAAATAAGTTTTCATTTTCTAGACCATTTAATATGTTTTCCAAGAATGCATGCTGCAACTCTCCAGAATTAAGTCATGTAATTTGGATTTCCACATTTAAAAAATAAAGTTCCTGAATAGGTAACTACTTAAGGCCCATTGTGGTTTGTTTGGTTTTAATCTAGTATGAGGATATAAGCTTAAATCTTAATTACCGTGTGTAGACTGAGCCAACTGAAACTTTAAACCAGCCTTTATTTTTAAAAATTACTACAATATGAATCCAGCCAATATTACCTTAAGATCAAGATACAATTAAGAATATATTATTGATTGTAAAAAATAAACTTAAAACTTCTGAATTCAGAATGATATATCAAAAAAGCAATTTTTTTGTTAAGTAGTAAGATCAATAATCTTTTTCACTATCTCATGTAAATGTAATTACTGATTCCCCCCAGTGTTTTGCAATTTAAAAACATCGGTTTATATTTGGAAAGTTGTTAAAGCAGAAATTTTCCATTGAGTATAGAATAGAAATAGAAAATAGGCTTCAATTGAAAAATATTTTAGTACTGGATGCAATAGGTAGGTAGGTAGGTAGGTAGGTAGGTAGGTAGGTAGGTAGGTAGGTAGGTAGGTAGGTAGGTAGATAGATNGATAGATAGATAGATAGATAGATAGATAGATAGATAGATAGATAGATAGATAATCAGAAATCAATATATCTCCTATGAAAGAGCATAACATTTGCTTTAGGAATTTAATCTTTTTCCCCATTCATATTTATAGCCACTGGGTGGCAGAGATGTCCTTTGTTTAAATAGCAGTCCTTTGGTATCGTTAGTAATCAAAAGAAGAGTGGTAATTTCAGTAGTTAAAGATGGGGTTAAATTAGTATTTTAAGACAGTGAGAAAAAAGTAGAAGAAATGAATTCAGGCTGTCATTTTGAATTTGGAATTCTCAATAAATTCTGTGAATATCAACAGACTGATTTTCTGATAAGTATCATAGTAGTAGGAGAGCTATGCTGGTCTATAGTAATCAAGCCGGTTTCAACTAACACATTTTATGGAAAGACCTAAGCTTTATTGAACTGAAGCTCACTTCTTCAGGTGCACAAAGTGGCTAAACTAATGTAGGTCTTAAATTGGGGCAAAGTGAAAGGACAATGAGATGGGTGCACCAATGCACCATTGAAAGATCAGGTTAGGGACAGACCATCATGGATAAAATTGCAAAGAGTTAACAATAACAACTTAAGGACACCTAATTAACGTGGGGAAGGAGGAGGAAGCAGCAGGTGGGTTATGCAGATACAATCTACATGTGAGACACATCAATGAGAGTTTGTTGTAATGAATTTTCTCTATAAGCATCTTCAGGTGGTCAGAACTTTCCAGTCTTCTAAACAAGCTTAATTGGAAAATTACGGTAAGAAAGGAGCCATGATGTATGAATTGGGTTTATAAGATTATTCATTAGCTGTCATTTCTTGAACTTTTTGAGAAGTGGTTTTTGAAGATAAACAGTCTTCCTTATAATTCATTAAAGCTTCCAAAAACAGTTGTATTATTTTATTAGAACTTAGGTAAGTTCTAGTTTTGATCTTAAGTGTTCTTAAATTTTAATAGTTGTATGAAATAGAAGTATAAAATCTGCATAATGTTTTTTTTCTTTTCCTGGGAAGAAAAAAAGGTACCTTAGTTTAAAACTATTTAAAGTTACCCATTTTTTTTTAAAAAAAACTTTTATTTCTTAAACTTGCAAATGAGAAGAGTTTCTAAGAATTTTCAGGGGTGTCTGAATAGGATC